GAATGACAGTGTATTAGACACACCCACAACTGGAGTGACACTGTATCAGACACACCCACAGTGGGAATGACACTGTATTAGACACACCCACAGTGGGAGTGACACTGTATCAAACACACCCACAGTGGGAATGACAGTGTATTCGACACACCCACAGTGGGAGTGACACTGCATCAGACACGCCCACAGCGATCAGTGTTTTTCCTTCTGCAGATCTAGTTGGTCCCAGTTGCACACTGCACACCTGAGTGAGAAAGACAGGGCCTGGTAAGTGTGTGGCAGTGATGCTGGGTCCTGGAGCCCCAGTGGAGGTCAGGGTGATGATCATCTGGGGCTCAGAGACCAGAGGAGAGTCAGGCTGCCCAGACGTGTCTTGTCCAGAGTTCAGGCACAGTTAATCTCCCAGCCCTCTCCCAGTGTGAAGCAGGAGCCCTGATTCCAGCAGAGACCCACCACTGCCCGACTGCGACTGCTGATGACAAAATAACCAGCAGAGAGAAGGTACCTGTCAGGCCTGTTTGATAGCCTGCCAGTGCACCTGCTGCAGAAAGCCTGCAGTCGCCTGGCGGTAACCTCACGACATTGTTGCTGTTACAAGTGATACAAATATTTTGATATCTCTATCAACCAGAAGATGAAAAACTAAAGACGAGAGCTGAAAAAACAAAAATCCTTTGTTTCCATCCCTTCAGACACTTTGATACTGCATCTCTCGTGTTTCAGTCATGGACGCTCTGTGCTAATTAAACCTTAAGGGAACCGACCTAATTAGCGCAATTAAAAGAGCTAATTATGGAAAGAGCACTGGGAAACTCGCAGTGCCTGGAAGCATCGACAGTATACGGAGACAGTGAGTCATCGGTCAATATCACAATTTCAAAACAGATGAACAGAAGATAATTGGTATTTCTTTAACTGGGGCAATTCTCCCTCTATCCCACTGGAATCGGACGAGTGTAGTTGGAATTTACTACCGTCTCGGCCCTGGTCTGTGTAACTGGCCTGGTCTGTGTAACGGCGATTAGACCATTTTTCTCAGGGCACGGCTCTGCAGTTGTTACAGAGAGACGTCGCTCCTCTGATTGAACCCGCCCCCTGAGCTCGGTCTGCTGTCCGATTGGCGGAGAATAGAAGAAATCTCCGCATTCCAATTCCCACTGCAATCCCGCCTTGTTCAGACGTCTCCTGAACACAATAGGTTAGTTCAACGTCACTCACAGCATGTCTGTGCGTTCTTTGGTGATTGGAGCTGTCCATCACCGCCTTTTTTTAATTAGGCGCTTGGATTGGCTGCGATGGCCAGAAGGGGTGAAGCTCCCCCCTTCCTGAGCTCAAGTAAAGAGTGGGAGTGGGGGACAATAACGGGTAGAGGTGGACCTTTATGTCAAAGTGGAAATCCGATTCGTTCGCTTCCGTGTCCGTCAGTTTTCCTGAGCTATGATTGGCTGTGACGCGCCCCCTCGAGGTCAGCAATGGCCTAGAAACAATTGGGCTCGAGCTGTCAGTGTACATAACGGCAGTCCGGGGATTAGTACTGTAGTGAAACCGCAAATAGAAAAACAAAGTCAGACATTTGACCAATTACTTAATTCATCTCGTCGCGTTTCGTTGTAGTTACTGACGCGATTAAGTGCACTTCGACAGGGTGTCATTGTTTTAGGAATAGCGTTATGTAAAATTTCGCCAAGCGTCGCAGAGGTAAAAGAATGAAAATCCCGTGTTAACGTCACGGTGCTTCATCAATACCGCGAGCCGCTCGGTGACGCCGGTGCTCTCGCCGCCGTCAGGACCGCGATTTCTAGCCGGACCGGTAAGTATACAGCACAGCAGTGATCGTGCCCGCGGTAGCGGTCCTGTCCTCCGGGAGGGCGGCCGCCACGGACCCGGAGCCCGGCGTTTCAGGCGAGCGGGCCGCGGCCGTCAGCCACCCGGCGGGCGGGCAGGTGGGCGCTGCCGGCCTGCGGCAGGAAGAGGAGGCTGAGGGCCAGAGAGAGTGTGCGGGCCCCCAGGATAGCCATATTGACCCCCTGTCCTCTCTCTCTCTCTCGGGGGGCCAGCGGGGAGGGTGGCGTCATCATGCCAGTGCCGGGGGGTCCGGCATTGCAGAGCAGTCACTGTCGCCCCCCGCCTTTCCAGGGTCTGTACGGCGAGTTACTGAAGACACGGTCACTGGTCACTGGTCACTGGTGCTGTGTAGAGCTCTCCCCTGACAGAGGACTGGGACTGAGCCAGCACAGGGCTAGGGAGAGCTGCACTGGTCACTGGTCACTGTTCAGTAGTTACTGGTGCCGTCTCTCTGCTTCAGGTGGGCCAGTGCAGCCGAGATGGGGTCAGCCCCAGGCTGCACTCCCTGGAGAGCCGTGTGTCCAGAGTGCACTGGCTCTGGGCTCCCAGTCCTGCGCAAGACTGTGGGGCTCAGGGAAGCAGGAGCAGCCACGTTCTTTGGCCTGACAGGGGTCTTCCCATGAACACTGGGGCCTGATGACCAGTGGGCAGCTCGCTGCCACAACCTGAGTTCTCTACTGTGCCAGGGAACTTCCTGGGTAGGATGATGGAGGCTGTAGAACAGGCGTTGATCAGGATGTGCCCTGTACCCCTTTAAAGAAGAGAATAGGGGCAGTGCTACCCATACTGATAGGGCTGCCATCTGTGATCTCGCCTTCTTCAGCAGGGACGCCAGGACAGCTGTGAGACAACAGGACTCCTTCTTTGCCATCACCATCATTTCATACCCATCAGTCCTGCTCAGAGGCATTGTGAGCTGGGGCCTACCCTGGCAGACAGTGTACAAGGTAGGATACACCCTGGACATGATCCACCACAGAGCGAGCACCCACACACTTACACACAGACCTACACACTCGCACACCCCTGCACACTTACACACAGACCTACACACTCACACTCGCACACCCCTGCACACTTACACACAGACCTACACACTCACACTCGCACACCCCTGCACACTTACACACAGATCTACACACTCACACTCGCACACCCCTGCACACTTACACACAGATCTACACACCCACACTCTCACACACACACTCACACTCACAAACCCCTGCACACTTACACACAGACCTACACACCCACATTCTCACACACACACGCTCACACTCACAAACCCCTGCACACTTATACACAGGCTCACACACCCTTATACTCACATTCACACTAACTTACACACCCACACTCTCGCACAAGCATGATCACACTTACACACAGATCCACACACTCACTTGCTCACACACACACACCCACAAACTCAGACACTCACACATTCACACGCACCATAAAGTCACGCACACACATTCACGCGACTCTCACACACTCATACGCATCACACACATCCACAGACTCGCACACTTTCACACACAGTCACACACTTTCACATGCATACATTCACACACTCGCACACATTCACAAGCACCCACACACTCACACATGCACCCTCCCATTCACCCAAACACTCTCACACATGCATACACGCACCCACACACACACCCACACACAAGTGCACATTCCCATGCATCCACACACTCACACATATACCTGCACGCTCATCCAACCACACAAACACATGCGCACATGCACACACATAACAAGCACCCAGACATACACACCCGCCCACTTATAAACACCCACACATTCATACACACACATCTGCATAGCCACACGTGCACTCAGAAACTCACACACACATACATACACCCACACTCGTACACGCACTCGTGCATGCAACCTCCCCACACTCACACATGCCCCAGAATACACACACATGTATTAAACCTCCTCTCTCTCACTACTGGTGTAGCGTCCCACTAGCCAGCAAGCGCCTGTGTCTGTATTTCAGGAGAGATGAACAATGCACATACGAAGACCGTGGAGGAGGTACTGTGCTATTTTGGAGTGAATGAGTCAACAGGCCTCAGCTGTGAGCAAGTCAAGAAGGCCAAAGAACAATGGGGCACCAACGGTAATCACACTCTGTAACAGCCCTCCGATTGTTTTTAGTGCTGAAATTGAAGAGGACCAGCTTGTTGTCCTAGTTATTATTATTATTAGTAGTGGCAGGTGGGGCCACTGGTGCAGGAGGGGGCTGTGTGTCTCCCAGGTGGGGCCACTGGTGCAGGAGGGGGCTGTGTGTC